GCTCCTCGTCGCAGGACTTGTTTGCCCGTCTGGCCGCACAAATGAGGGCTGCTACGTCGTAAGTGCGGCTCTTGATCTCTTCTTTGTACTGGCGCTGCGCCGCTGGGTCGGTCGCAGGCTTGCCATAGACCTCGTAAACCTTGTGCGCTTCTGCCTCGCTCTTTGGGAGAGGTAGCGTCTTGGTTATGAGCTTCTTCGCTAAGGGGTCGGGCGGGGTAGCCCGCCTCAAAGTGGCAGAACTTGCTGCTTGCTGCTGTGGTGGTTGCCCTCGCGATGCGGGGCGTCGCCTTCTCTGGTTGTAGTGCCCGTTGCAGCTTCGGCACGTCCAGTGTCGCTCTGATACATGACGCCCACACGCACACTGCCAGGTACCAGCCATGTCTTCTGCACAGTCGGCCTGGCGCCGTGGTTGCTGGGCGCTGTGGTGACGTAGGAGCAACTCTCGAGCGCTGACCGCCCTCACGAGCAGTCGCGCTTGTCCGCGGGCTCTCTTTTCTCGTCTGTGCTTGGCGGGCTCTCGTGAACGAGAGCGCCGCCATTGCCGCCGCTTGAATGGCGGCGTGACCGCGGCGAGGCCGCGGTGGCCGCGGCTGGGCCGCGGATGCGCTGCGCCGCCTGCAGGCAGCACTGCCGCGGGGGTCCGCGGGCTATGGCGCGCGCGGGCCAGGGGCCACGCGTGAGGCCACGGCGGGTCGGGCTGCCCCTCAATCCACAGGGGCGGCCCTCAGCCGATACGCCTTCCCGTCCTCATCCTCCTCTTCCTCCTCCTCCTCCTCCTCGCTCCATCCTCCTCCTCCCTCCTCCTCCTCCTCCTCCTCTCCTCCTTCCTCCTCCTCCTCCTCCTCCGTCCTCCTCCTCCACCTCCTCCTCCTCCGTCCTCCGTCCTCATCCGTCCTCCTCCGTCCTCCTCCGTCCTCCTCCGTCCTCCTCCGTCCTCCTCCGTCTTCCTCCGTCCTCCTCCGTCCTCCTCCGTCATCCTCCGTCCTCCTCCGTCCTCCACCGTCCTCCTCCGTCCTCATCCGTCCTCCTTCTCCTCCGCCCTCCGCCCTCCGTCCTCCGTCCTCCGTGTTCCGTCCTCCGTCCTCCGTCCTCCGTCCTCCGTCCTCCGTCCTCCGTCCTCCGTCCTCCGACGTCCGTCCTCCGTCCTCCGTCCTCGTCCTCGTCCTCCTCCTCCCCCTCCCCCTCATCATCATCATCCTCCTCTTCCTCATTCGGAGCCTGGAGGCCCACCTGTGTTCATCTTCGGAGATGGATCTGGAGGCGAGTATAGTTCGCATCCCAGACGTAGGCGATGCGGTTCGGCGGTGGTGATGATGTGCCATGGCCCTCGTCGCCTAACTCGTGGGTGTCCCAGTGCGGTGTAGGACAGATTCTGGCGGGCCGAGGCCAAACCGTTCCAGGAGCTGAGCTCCTGGCGTTCTGTCTTGCACTTGAACAGTCTCACGGTCCGATGTGCTACAGTACCGGCTGCAAGAGCTTGGTCTCGGATTGGCACGGTGGCCGTGCTTCCTCTCCTCGGGGCCCGAACGGGGACGTCTGGGTCCGTGCGGTTCGTGCGCTGCGCAACCGTGGCCATGGGGATGGTTCGATGCTGTGGACTTCCTCCCACACGGAGGACAAGTTGCAGTCGGTCACGTCACCGTTTGAAATAGTTATGTGCCAGGGAAACGCCAGTGCCGACATCTACGCGGGGGTGGTGGCCCAGTGGGCCTGGGAGTGGTGCGTGGTTTCCTCCTTCCCTCGGACTGACCTGAGGGATACGACGGCGGCAATGGTGAGAAAAAGGGCCAGAAGGGCGATGCTGCTGGCGCTCGAGGTTGAACCTTGGGAAGGGGTCAGAGCTCCGCCAGCGCCCAAGGTCCGCAAGCCCACCAAATGTGACCAAACGATCCGCGATAGTGCGCACATGTTTCGCCCGTTCGCTGGTCGCTGGCGCTGTGATGTTTGTAAAGTCATTGTCCCCAGGAGCCAAGTGTTCGCCCTCGCCTCGACCTAGTGTCGCGATCCGATCCCGCCGCCGCCGTCTGGTTCTGCTTTCACGCTGGGTCTCATGCCAGAATAAGGAGAGCGTTTCGAGGCGATCTCGGGAGAGGTGTGCTGTGGCGCCGTGAAGCTTCACCCCAGCCACCGCCTCGCCAGAATGAAGAAATTCGGCTTGACATGTTGTCAGAGGTGTGGTTTCACTGCCACAACGGACGGTCGGTGGCTTCAGAATGTGTGTGTGTGTGTCACCGGAAAGGGGGTGAGAATCTCAAGCGAATTAGAAATGGTGTTTTTCCGTCTTATCGGGGCCCACCTGTGGCCTTGCGAGAGGCGGCGGCTCAGGATGCTGCCGCGAGAGCCCTCCCGCCACCCCCTCGGGAAAGAGCTGAGGGTTGGAGTGGTGCCTCTTTGAAGGAGGACTCTGTGATTGATGAGTATCTGGCTTGCTCCTCCAGCCGCCCCTCTTGAGAGCTCGCCGAATTGATGCATCTGCCCGAGGACCGTGCCCGCGCCCCACCCGCGGGCGAGGATGCGGCTGCTGTCTTTGCCGTTGCCGCTGCCACAGCAGGTAATGTGATTTCGCTTGAGGGTGTCGCTGCTCGACTCAGGGCCCAGGGTCAGGGGCTTACTGGGCTCGCTGGTGCTCGCGTTGTGCAGGTGTCGAGTGGCGACGGCGATGACAGCGGTGACAGTGATTGAAGCCACGTGGGTGGCATCGCAGCATGACCCAGCATGATCCTCCTCCTCCTCCTCCTCCTCCTCCTCCTCCTCCCTCCTCCTCCTCCTCCTCCTCCTCCTCCTCCTCCTCCTCCTCCTCCTCCTCCTCCTCATCCTCCTCTCCTCCTCCTCCTCCTCCTCCTCCTCCTCCTCCTTCCTCCTCCTCCTCCTCCTCCTCCTCTCCTCCTCTCCTCCTCCTCCTCCTCCTCCTCCTCCTCCGCCTCCTCCTCTCCCTCCTCCTCCTCCTCCTCCTCCTCCTCCTCCTCCTCCTCCTCCTCCTCCTCCTCCTCCTGCTCTCCTCCTCCTCCTCCTCCTCTCCTCCTCCTCCTCCTCCTCTCCTCCTCCTCCTCCTCCTCCTCCTCCTCCTCCTCCTCCTCCTCCTCTCCTCCTCCTCCTCCTCTCCTCCCTCCTCCTCCCCTCCCTCCTCCTCCTCCTCCTCCTCCTCCTCCTCCTCCTCCTCCTCCTCCTCCTCCTCCTCCTCCTCCTCCTCCTCCTCCTCCTCCTCCTCCTCCTCCTCCTCCTCCTCCTCTCCTCCTCCTCCTCCTCCTCCTCCTCCCTCCTCCTCCTCCTCCTCCTCCCTCCTCCTCCTCCTCCTCCTCCTCCCCTCCTCCTCCTCCTCCTCCTCCTCCTCCTCCTCCGCATCCTCCCCTCCTCCTCCTCCTCCTCCTCCTCCTCCTCCTCCTCCTCTCCTCCGCCTCCTCCTCCTCCTCCTCCTCCTCCTCCTCCTCCTCCTCCTCCTCCTCCTCCTCCTCCTCTCCCCTCCTCCTCCTCCTCCTCCTCCTCCTCCTCCATCCTCCTCCTCCTCCTCCTCCTCCTCCTCCTCCTCCTCCTCCTCCTCCTCCTCCTCCTCCTCCTCCTCCTCCTCCTCCTCCTCCTCCTCCTCCTCCTCCTCCTCCTCCTCCTCCTCCTCCTCCTCCTCCTCCTCCTCCTCCTCCTCTTCCTCAAGCTTCCGCTCGTCTCGAGGAATCACGACGGGAGATTAGCATTTTCACCCCCTGGGGCCCTCTCTGGGCCCTGGGACCGTCAAAAAATGCCTCGGGATGCACAAGCGGTCCCAAGAAAAAAATCTAGACCTCCGGGGGGCCACGCTGCGAACCAAAAGTATGACGTCAGAAGTTTCGGGGTTCCTTGTTGGGGTGATTGGTCCGCGAGGCGCGATATCCATGAAACCACTTGCCTCCCTCGCAAGAACAGCGAACTCGTCTCGGGGAGATCACCAACCCTCGGGCCAGTCCCAGCCCCGTAGGTGCTATCGCTGCGTTCGCTACGAACCTAGGTTCGCTCGGTTCCCGATCGACCTCCTCTCTGTCCTCCTCCACTCGGGAGTGGACAGAACCCCATTTAGCTAAACAGCGTTTAATGAGAACGACCCACGTCCAAATCTGGTGGGCGCAGGCCCGCAAAAGCTGCGGCCTCAAATCCCCCTCGAGAACCGAAAAGAGGGCAATCCGCGAATCGGCCTGTCAGGGTAGGGGTTCTATATCGACTCCCGATCGACGGACTCCGCCTCTGGCGCCGCCTCTGGCTCCATCTCCGCAGTTCTTCAAAGAAGAAACGGGGACCACCACCACCGAGAACCCATCGGGAGGGGACCAATCCCTGGACGGTGGCACGCCTGAGCGTCGTTCTGTCCAGGACGATGCTCTGGCGTTCCGACTCGTGCCACAACCGATCCTTGTTGTGGGAGCGGGGATGGGAATCGGCGGGGCCGGTCGACTCGTTCGACCTGGCTACGCTGACTCCTGCTCCTCCTCCTCCTCCGCCTCCTCCTCCTCCGCCTCCTTCTCCTCCGCCTCCTGATCCTCCTCCTCCTCCTCCTCCTCCTCCTCCTCCTCCTCCTCCTCCTTCCTCCTCCTCTCCTCCTCCTCCTCCTCCTCCTCCTCCTCCTCCTCCTCCTCCTCCTCCTCCTCCTCCTCCTCCTCCTCCTCCTCCTCCTCCTCCTCCTCCACTCCAAGGACCATTCCCCGTCCCCCGCTTCGCCCCACCCCTCCGCCATCCCCTGAAGCCGCGGGGCCGACCTCCTGCCCAGCGCCAGCCGTGAGAGGCCCAGCGAGTGTGCCAGACTTAGAGGAAGAGAAAGCGGCATAAACATCAGCTTTCGGCGGTCCGCACGAACGTCTTGGATCTGCGCTGGACCCCACTCCCTGGCGCGCGGAGCGCGCCAGAGACGGCGCCAAAGGCGCCCCAGGGGAGGGGGCACAGCGGAGACCCAAGGAATCCGCACGGAGCTCCGAAGGCTTCTGCTCGTGCCCTTTCTTTTCTTCTTCGAGGCGTGCCAGAGTGGCCCCGAGACGGCGGTCCTCCAGTTCCTCGAGCTCCTTCTCGTCGACCTTGATCGCCCTCCGGATCTTCCTCTTCTCGTCGGCCTGCAGGCCGAGGCGGGCGCCGCCATATAAAGAGAGCTCGGCCTCGAGAGCCCGGGCTCGAGCGGCCGAGCTCGGGCTCCAGCTCGTGCTCGGCCTCGATCGCCCGCCAGGCCTTCCGCCCCTCGTCCGCCTCCCGCGCGTCGGCCGGCTTCCAGAGAAGCTCGGCCTCGAGCCGCTGGGGCTGGGAGTCCGAGACGCCCGGAGCATGCGCAGAGGAAGGAGAACGGGCACCAACTCAAACCTTCGGGGGTCCGCGCAGAGCTCGGAGAGCTCATGACGGGAGCCATCGGGTCCTCGTCGGCACTCGGCCAGCGCCGCCCCGAGCTGGGCTGGCGCCGCCCTGGCCTCGCTCGGCAACGCGCAGGAGTGACCCTTCGAGTAGGAGATCGACTTCAGAACTGATGTACCCCCCGAATTCATTTCTGGTGCCAAATCTACGAGAAGTGCGCAATGCTTGTAGACGCACGCACACATTCTACATAAGTTTCGCAGATTCGGCGGAAAAAACAACTTTCGGATCAATTCTGCAATCGATCTCCTACTCGAAGAGGCCCCAAGAAGGCCCCTCCGCCCCGCGACGAGGCCCCCAGGACAGCCTCCGACGGCGCCAGACGGCCCCAAAGCGCCCTCAGGACGGTCCAAACGGGCCCCAAGAGGGCCCCAAGCGGGCCCCAGGAGGCACCCCCCCAGAAGGCCCAGAGACGGCCCCAAGACAGCCCCCAGATGGGCCCAGAGGGCACCCTCCCCATCCTTCCCCCCGCGGCTTCCCCAACAGCTGGGGAACGCGCAGCCCACTGGTAGCGTGGCCGCACTTTCGCTCGACACCTCACCACACACACAAAGGATCTTCCAGAAGGCAGGGGTCGCTGGTGGCCTGCCGTGGGCGTCTTCGACTGGCGGCTGGTAAGGTCAGCGCCTTTCCCAGCCTGAGGGGCCAGGATGTGCTTCAGGCAGGAAGCGGCGCGGGAGAGGGAGGGAGGGAGAAGGGGGTCAGTCGGCAGCGAGTCGGGAAAGGGGACCAAATCGGATCGGAATGTGCGCCGGATCGGGCCGGATCAGCACGGAGTCGAAGTCGATTCGGATTCGCCACGCCAGGATGCGCAGCAGCACCGTGGCAGACGTCACACCACATCGATCGCTCGGATACCTGAACCGAATATGATCGGGCCAGCCGAAATCAATACCGAACCGGATCGATCACATCGATCTGGGTCCTGGAGGGGGCTCCAGCAAGCCAGCCAAACGTGGCCACGAGGGCGGAAGAACCCTGAGATCCGACGTTGCGACAAAAAGGCATCATCGCGGAAAATCACGGCTGGAGCCCAGACCCCATCCTCCTGCTGCATGTTCCGAGCCAGATCGGCCTTTGAGGGTCCTGGGGCCCGAAACCTCACGAAAACGACCCTCGTGAAAGACGCGACGCCTGACCTCAAGGAAAATCGTGATTTTCTCAATACCGGCACCCTGGAAGTCCCGACCCGTTCTCGGGGGCCAGTTTTTCGCCCCGATACGTTTTCTGACGGTCCTGGAGCCCAGCGAGGGCCCCAAGAGGCCGAAAACGGCAGAAATAAAAAACGCCCTGATTTTTGTCAATACGGTGGACCTTGTCTGGCCCGATACGCAACACGCAACACATAGCGTGTCGACCTACACTGAAAACGCAGGTTTGGCGCAACACGTTCGCCAAAGGGTGCGCCAACACGTGCCGAGCCAACACGCAGCGTGCTCACACGGACGTTTTGGCACGTGCTGCGTTTCGAAACGTGCGCATCAGGGCAGCTAGGTGTTCAATACGTTGGATCGCTGGGTCAAGGGAGGCCGCTCTGGGGCACGACGGCCCCCCTCGGGGGCGTCCAAGAGAGGAGCGTCCAAGAGGGGGATTTTGGATTGCCTGCTCGTTGAGGCAACTAACCTGTCGAGTTATGATGGCGCTGCGACTAGCGATGCAAACTGAAATAGTGAGATCGCACGGGCACCTAAGGATTGCAGTATACAGTACAAGTACACCAAACCCGTCACTCCATATACCTCCCACCTCCACTCAATACCCCACACTTCAGCTGGGCAACTGGGCGGCAGATGCGAAAACTACGACAGCGGCCTGCTGCGCCCGTCCAGGGCATTCGGGTGGAGGGGGAGATGGGAGGGAATAAATACGCAAAACGGGAAGGAGGAAGGCTGGGACGCAGACCCTCTCACCAATATTTGACTTGGCCGGCAAACGCTAAAGGGTCTTGCATCAATGGCCTGGGCACTGTGGAGTCGGGGGCAGGAGGAGGGAAATGCCAAAGCAGAAAGCGAGGACTGGGTAAGGCTGGAACGCAGACCTGGGCCCTAATCCTTTTTCTTTCTCGCTCGCCGCTCCTCCTTGCATGACACACAGGCTCTGCAAATGAGCATCGCTCGCAAGTGTGTACTGGCCGCGCCAAGAGACTCCTTCAACCCGATCCCACCACCTACAAGTAAACCCGTCCACCACTCCAATCCCATATGCGCTAGACGCACCGCGGTCCAAGACACGCAGGAGCGCGGCGTTCACTGACAGCCGTGTGGCTCGACCTGTGCCAGGGGCGAAAGGCGAACATGCTCGCTTGGCAATGAGTGACATCGCGGTAAGTGCCGGGACTGGGGACTGGGACGGGCAAGGCAGCAGACTTCGCAAAGGGAGACCGTGGTCCCGTCGCCTTTGTGTCACTTGTTCCTTGCCCAGAAATCTCATAGAATAGCTGCCAAAATGGCGCTGACTTGTGCGCAAGAGAGCGCGCACGATGACTGTCCGATCCTGCCCCGTCCAGCCCCTCGAAGAGAAAGCGAGGACGGTCGCATGCGACAAGAAAAATGGGGCATGCTCACTAGCGGGCTGGGGAGCCGTCGGCTGCACCTCTCGGGCGGGGGGGGGGGGGAATACGGAGCTGCCCCGTCGGCCCTAGCTGCATGATTACCATGGCCACCTGGACCTGACACGCACCTAGGCACGTCATAGCAATCTGACTGATCATTCAGCACGAGGGGGCGAGCAGGGTGGGCACGATAACGCGCGGAGCGGCGAGGGGCAGGGCGGCGGCTGGCGGAGAGAGAGAGAGAGAGAGAGAGAGAGAGAGAGAGAGAGAGAGAGAGAGAGAGAGAGAGAGAGAGAGAGAGAGAGAGAGAGAGAGAGAGAGAGAGAGAGAGAGGAGAGAGAGAGAGAGAGAGAGAGAGAGCGAGAGAGAGAGAGAGAGAGAGAGAGAGAGAGAGAGAGAGAGAGAGCGAGAGAGCGATAAAAAGGAGCGGGTCGCTTCCTCGCTCGTAATCCCTCCCTCCTGAACCCGAAACACCCTCCACTCCATCCTTCTACTGACGAAAGATGTCGCTGCCAAGCTTTGGCTGCGTCGTCCATAGAAATGCGCGCGCGGCAGGACACGACCGTGGTAAGCAGCCTAGAAACTACAGCGCCCTATCGAAACTCCCAAGATGGATCCCACAATCTGAGTAAGGAGTTCCGTGAACTATTCCAGGGGCCTGGACCTGAATCCACTGCACCTGCTACATTCCTAGTATGGCGGTAGGTTTAACACCACATATATAACTTCATGTTTGCAGACAACAGTGCGGCAGGAGAAGGGGCGGCTGGCGGCAAGAGAGTAATCGTGAACCCACCTGACCCTCCGACTAACCCCCACCCCTCCTTCTACTTAGTCCGTGACGCTGCTGCCGAAAATTGGCTGCACCGTCCATGGTGCTATACATATGGCAAGGCACGCCTTGCGTCTATGTCTGACTTCAGCATGCTGGATCCGTGAGCTGGACTGGCGTAGGCATAGGGGGGAGGGCAAAGGTGGTTCGGAGCGAGGGGGGGAGGCAAATCGGACTCCATCTGATCAAGAGGTTCTGACACTAATTCGGCTGCGCTGGCAGCCACAGGCGAGCTATGCGTGGCTCAGGCATCTCACTCCTGGCAGCTCGCCTGCGCTGCTGCATCACCCCAGTGTCGACTCTCCAGTCGACTCCGCACCAGCGCCGCCGACCACCTCGAAGCCGTCGGGCCTGCGGGGGCGCCTCGCCGCCGCCTCCGTCTCATGGTCGCCGAACTCCGCCGCGACGTCTGCACGTCCAGCTGGGGCCGGGATGCTGCCACGGCCTCGATGCCCGCCCATTTGCTGCTGCCTGGCTATGGCGTCCGCGAGCAGCGGCTGGCCCAGCGGGCGCCTTGCACGCTCCTGCTCGCGCTTGGCGCGGCGTGCGGCGGCGGCACGAGCACGCGCCGCTGCGAAGTCCTCGCCGTCGGCCTCTGCAGGCTCCGCTGCTGCACCGTCAGCTGCCGCGGGCACGGGCGGCGCGGGGCCGGCGCTAGCTGCAGGGTCAGCTGCTCCGTCGACTGGGCTCGCTACCGCGGCCTCGGAGGCAGGTGCGGCAGCAGCGATCTCCTCGGCCGTCGGCATGCGGCCAAGTCGCCGGGGCTGGCCAGTGCATGGCCTGACCTGCGGTCCGCCACCCCCAAGTGGAACTGGGACCTCGGCGGCAGCTGCTGGAGTCCTCGCCGCCGCCATCGCCGTCTGCAGCGTCGTCAGCATTGCCGTCAGGCTGCTGAGCTGGGCCGTGAGCGACGCCTGGCCGCTCTGGAGCTCCGCGATGGCCGCCAGCTGCACAGGCATGCCTTGAGGCGTCTGAGGCGTCACGCCTCCAGCCTCAGGCGTCCGCGCGCCCTCCACGTACGTGCCCATGTCCACGTCGCCAGCTGCTCCTCCAGCCGCGTGGCCTGCCTGCATCGCCTCGAGCTGGTCCAGCAGCATCTTGGCCCTGTCATGCTCCATCTCGCGCTGCGTGCACTTCGACTGGGCCTCTTGTAGTCGTTCCTGCACCTTGTCAACCGCCTCACGGGCACGCTCGAACTTGCCAAGAGCCTTGGCGACGTATGCTCGTTGTCGGTCACAGCGCTCACCTGGCGCACGGGCCGTGATGATGATGCATAGCTGGACGCTGTACTCTAGCTTCTGACTTGCGATGATCTCCTCTGATGCCCCGAGGTCGATGGAAGCTTGAAGGCGCTTCCCTGTCGCAGCTGCAATCTGCCGTAATGCTCGTCTGTGCGCCGCCAAGGCGCGCTCGTCGCCGGGAGGGTCAACCCACGCTGGGTGCTGCCTCGCATCCTGCGGCAGCGCGGGGAGGATCCCTAGTGCTGGGCTGCGCATCTCCTCGTCGGCATCCGAGACGCCATTGCCGTCAGGGTCGGGCTCGGGCTCATCTGCGAAGCGTACACGCGAGCCCGACCGCGGCCGCTCCTCTCGCCTCTCGTGCTCACACCTGCGGCGGCGGGATGCGGAGCGTCGGCGGGTTGGCGTCCCTGGTGATGTCGAGCTCCGTCGGCGGGGATGATGCACTTGCTGCTGCTGCTGCTGCTGCTGCTGCTGCTGCTGTTGCTGCCGCTGCTGCGGTGGGCCTCCATGCCCGCCTCCTCCGACTGGGCCCGAAGGGCCTGGGTAGCAGCACCTGCATAGCTTTTCCTGTGGGCCGTTGAATCCACCACAGTCGTCACACCACCAGCCTGGCGGCGGGGGCGGGGGCACGCCCTGCCACGGCGGGGGGGCGGTGCCGCCCGTGGCGCCCGCGCGGCCCTTGCCGCTGCCTCCCTTGCCCATGGTGCTGTGGTGTGCGGCAAGGAGGCGCGCGGCGGCCGCAACCCGCAGCAGCGTGCGCGACTATGCACGTCTCAGGCGCGCTCGCCGATGCCACGCTGGCTCGGCGCGCCAGCGCCTGGGCGGTCCAGCGCCAACGGGACCAGCAGGATCGCCGCGAGAGCGTGCGCGGCCAGCCGCGGGCCGCCCAAGCGCGGATCGCGCGGGACTGGGGCGCGGGCCAGCGCGCGTGGCTGCCACCCCGGAGAGGTCGCCGTACCTGGTACGGCACCCAAACCTCTCGAACCGGGGCGGCTGCTCCAAGAGGGGGGGGGAGGGAGCGCAAACCATGGCTGGCGGCATGTGCGCGGCCCTGGGGGGGGGGGCGGGAACGCACTAAAATAAGAAGAGGCGCCCGCCATGAGATCCACCCCCGCCATGATATCCACATCCGCCATGAGATCCACCCCCGCCGGTGGAATAAGGGAAATGTCAAGGCCCCCGCCATAATATCCATCCCCCCCTTAGTCATCAGCCCCCTCTTGGCCGCCCCCGACCGACCCCCGCGCCCCTCCACGAGGGCCACGAGGGCATGGTCGAGGCACGACGCGGTCGGAGAGGCCGAGGGCCTCCCCCCTGCCCCAGCTCTGCCGCGCGCCGAGGCGCTGCAGCGCGGCGCGCGCCCTCCCGAGGGGGGGGGGGAGGGGGGCGAGCCCAGACCTGCTCGCGACGCGGAAAAACAAATGAAAAAGTGACGGATGATCTTTGGCCAGTTTCGCTCTCTCCTCCTCCTCCTCCTCCTCCTCCTCCTCCTCATCCTCCTCCTCCTCCTCCTCCTCCTCCCCGCCTCCTCCTCCGCCTCCTCCTCCTCCTCCTCCTCCTCCTCCTCCTCCCTCCAGACCCCACCCACCCACCCACCCACCCTCCCTCCCTCCCTCCCTCCTCCCCCCTCCCTCCCTCCTCCTCCTCCTCCTCCTCCCTCCTCCTCCTCCTCCTCCTCAACCTCCTCCTCCTCCTCTCCTCCTCCTCCTCCTCCTCCTCCTTCTCCTCCTCCTCCTCCTCCTCCTCCTCCTTCTCTCCTCCTCCGCCTCCTCCTCCTCCTCTCCTCATACTCCTCCTCCTCCTCCTCCCCTCCTCCTCCTCCTCCTCCTCCTCCTCCTCCTCCTCCTCCTCCTCCTCCGCCTCCTCCTCCTCCTCCTCCTCCTCCTCCTCCTCCTCCTCCTCCTTCCCTTCTCCCTCCTCCTCCTCCTCCTCTCCTCCTCCTCCCTCCTCCTCCTCCTCCTCCTCCTCCTCCTCCTCCTCCTCCTCCTCCTCCTCCCTTCCTCCTCCTACTCATCCTCATCCTCATCCTCATCTCATCCTCATCCTCATCCTCGTCCTCGTCCTCGTCCTCGTCCTCGTCCTCCTCCCTCCTCCCTCCCCCCTCCTCCCTCCTTCCTCCTCCCTCGGGGCCCTCCTGGGAAGGCTCTTGAGGCTGTATTGGGGCGTCGTGAAAGCCGCTTGGACCCTCTTGGGACCATCTTGGGCGTCTTGGTGCGATCGTTCGGCGACTCGGGGCCCTCTTGGACCGTCTTGGGACCTTCTTGGGGCCCTCTTGGCCCGTCTTGGGCCCTTAACGCGGGAAGCCCAAGAAGATTTGGGGCCCCATGTAAAGACTCCCCAGGAGTGCTGAAGGGATTAAGCAAAGGACCTGAGGGCACGACCACTCCGTGCCCAGCGGCACGTTGGTGGATGAGTGAATCAGAATATGAGTCAGTCTGAGTGTGAGTGGGTATGAGTGTGAAGGAGGTGAAACGGTGTGAGTGTGAGTGTGAATGATTGGAGTGTGAGTCTGAGTGTGAGTGAGCCAAGGGATGATTGAATTTGAGTGTAAGTGGGTGTAGGTATGGGATAGCTGGAGTATGATTGAGTCTGAGTAAGAGGCGGGCTCGAGTGAAAGCAAGTCTGAGTGTGAGCAAGTCTGAGTGTGAGCAAGTCTGAGTGAGGGTTGGTCTGAGTACGAGTGACGAGACTGAGTCTGAGTATGAGTGGGTCTGAGTGTGAGTGAGTCTGAGCGTGAGTGAATCTGAGTATGAGCGAATCTGAGTATGAGTGAGTCTGCGTGTGAGTACCTCCGAGCTTGAGTGGATCTGAATGAGAGCACATCCTAGTGCGAGTTAGCCAAAGTGTGAGTGGGTCTGAGTGCGAGCGAGTCTGAATGTGAGTGAGTCTAAGTACGACTGCGTATGGAAATTAAGAGGCTTGGGTATGACTAAGCGACTTGAGTCTGAGTGAGTCCAGGTATGAGAGAGTCTGAGTACACGTGCGTCTGCATAAGAGTGAGTCTGAGCATGATTGAGTCTGAGTCTGAGTGGTTCTGAGCGTGAGCAAGTCTGAATGTGAGCGGGTCTGAATACGAGCGTGACGCCTCTGAATCTGAATACGCGTAAGTCTGAGTGTGACTGAGTCTGAGTGCGAGTGATTATGAGTGCTCGTGTGTGAAAGCCTAAGGATGAGCGAATATGAATGCGAGTGGGCCTGCGTGTGAATGACTATGTTTATAAGTGAGTCTGAATGTGAGTGGGTCTGAGGGTGAATGGGTTTGAGTCCTTGGGGGTGCTGAAACCAGCCCCTCGCGTGAGGCATCCTCAGAATCTGTTCCGGACGCAGGGGCTGCTGAGCATGCAAACAGGCAAACCGCCTGAAACATCCCCACAATCTGGGCGCGAATCCTGGAATGTCCCCACCCTGGCGGCCCACACTTGGAAGTGTTGAAGCCAACGCTTCGCCTGAGATCACAGTCCGACACGGGCAAACCGCCTGAGACATCCTCACAATCTGGGCGCGTATCCTGGAGTGTCCCCAGCCCTGGCGCCCCCCGTAGGAGTGCTGAAACTGGCGCCTCGCCTGAGACACCCTATGTGGACAATCTGCTCCGAAAACACATTATCCCAGCAAAGCAGCCTAACAGCGATGTGTAAAAGCATATCTGGAAGCATTCCCCTTAAGATTCAGGTGAGAATCCAGTTGTAGAATTCTGCTGCTCTCGCAGTCGCAGTCGCATTCGCAATGACAGTCGCAGTGGCAACGGCCTTAGGATCCAATGGAATCCTAAGGATCCCTAGGGATTCCTAAGGCATCCTTAGGCATCCTTAGGAATCCATAGGAATCCTTAGGAAACATTCGGAATCCTTAGGAATCCTGATTCCTAAGGATTCCTAGGGCTTCCTAAGGATTCCTGAGGAATCCCAAGGATTCCGAAGGATTCGCCTGCCTCGGCCTCAGCCTCAGCCTGCCTCGGCCTCAGCCTCAGCCTCAGCCTCAGCCTCAGCCTCAGCCTCAGCCTCAGCCTGTCTCAGCCTCAGCCTCAGCATCAGCCTCAGCCTCAGCCTCAGCCTCAGCCTGCCTCGGCTTGCCTCGGCCTGCCTCAGCCTGCCTCGGCCTCAGCCTCAGCCTCAGCCTGCCTCAGCCTCAGCCTCAGCCAGCCTCAGCCCAGCCTGCATCAGCCTCAGCCTCAGCCTGCCTCAGCCGCAGCTTGCCTCAGCCTCAGCCACAGCCTCAGCCTCAGCCTCAGCCTGCCTCAGCTTCAGCCTCAGCCTCAGCCTGCCTCGGCTTGCCTCAGCCTCAGCCTCAGCCTGCCTCGGCCTCAGCCTCAGCCTCAGCCTGCCTCAGCCTAAGCGTCAGCCTCTCAGCCTCAGTCTGCATCAGCCTCAGCCTCAGCCTCAGCCTGCATCAGCCTCAGCCTCAGCCTGCCTCAGCCGCAGCTTGCCTCAGCCTCAGCCACAGCCTCAGCCTCAGCCTCAGCCTGCCTCAGCTTCAACCCCAGCCACAGCCTGCCTCGGCTTGCCTCAGCCTGAACTCCGAGTCTTGAACAACGAGTCTTGAAGGGGGAGGAGAGAAGCAGGTCTGAACTCCGAATCTTGAACATCGAGCGCTAACGTGCGTCTCAGCACGAGGAAGCGCCGCTCAGCTCAAAAGCGGTGAAGTGAAGGGCGTGTGGGGGGGGGGGGGGAAAAAAGGGAGCGCAGCTGGTCGCGCGCCTGAAGTTGCCCCGCCAGGGAGGAGGATCAGGAGGGACCGGGAACGCACCCTACGCAAGGCTGGCCCAGCTAGGCTCCGCGCTAGAGACTCATTCGACGATGCGTGCAGCCTTCAGGAGTGGTCGCTTCTTGGCTGTGGTCGTCCTCGCCCAACAAGCCTCCGACAGAGAACCCGGCCTGGTTCAAGTGCTTCGCGTAGACGTTGAGGTAGCGGATCCCCTCCAGCGTACGTCCGTGCACGACCTTGAGGTCCACCCTCCCAAACTGCACCCATTTGCGATCCTCCGTGACGGCCTCTGCTGCGCGGTACTGGAGACCGCCAGCCTGCTTCTCGTCCGCCCACTTTCCCGTCAAGTTCAGCTCCTGAAAATATATGTCCGCGCACCACTCGCCAAGCCTCTGTGCCTCCGCCTCCACGCGCAGCAGGGAGACCGCGGTGCGCGCGCCCCTCGGGATCTGGATCAAGAGGTGCGTGCCAGCCTGCATGAGGTCGAAACGCTCGCCAAAGATGTTCCGCAGATGCGGGTCGCCGGTGCCCGCGACGGCGCCCATGCTGGCCCCAATGATGACGGGAACCGGCGTGGGAGCAGTGATAACGCCCGCAGTCGAAGCCGCTGCGCCCACGGAAGGAGCCGTCAGCGTGGGGGCCACAGTGATGACCGGCTCAGTACTCCAGTCAGAAGCAGCCATAGCTTCGTTCGTCTCGGCCTCAATGGCGTCAGCATTTGCAGCGATCGCGGCGGTGAGGGACGCGGCGCTCTTGCTGCCGACGATCTCCACCGTGAAACTCGTGGTCACGGTGACGTGCGAGTCCCGCAATAGCTGGCGGACAGCAGAGGGGCGCTGATCGGGATGGGTCGTGATGACGAAGCCCGTGATTTCAACGTCGGAGACGGACACGTTCAGAGCATTAGCCAGACCGGTCTTCTTGGCGGACACGTAGGTCGTAGAACTCATGAGGTCCTCCGCAGTCACGCCGTCTGGAAGAGATTCCTCCGCGGAGTATTCGCCAGCAATTCTTGCGTGATTGGACAGGTAACTGCCAGTTTCATTCGAGCAAGAGAGACCGAATGCCCGATAGTAGAGCCAAGTCGAGGAATCTGTACTGCAACCACACAAGCCGCCGTGCCAGCAACCATTGCAGCCGTCACATATAGAATTTGCAAGATCGAAGTAGCCACAGCCATCGTCGCAGCTGCAACATCCAGCAGCTTTGCGCGCTGCTGTGCAATCCCAACAATTGCAACCACAAGGTGGTTTCGAGCAGCCGCAAGCTTTCTGAGTTTCCGATAGCGTCGGGCTTGGCGTGGGGCTTGGCGTCGGGCTTGGCGTCGGACTCGGGGTCGGAGACAACGTGACGCCGGGTGGCAACGGTGTCGGGCTTGGCGTCGGGCTCGGCGTCGGGCTTGAGGTCGGTGGCACTGCATGGTAGGACAAGTAGCTGCCTGCATCACTCGAGCACGTGAGACCGAACACATCATAGAAGGGCCAAGTTACCGAATCTGCACTGCAACCACATTTGCCCTTGTACCAACAACCCATGCAACTGTCGCACAAAGTCATTGTATCGCCATAACCGCAACTCCCCCCATCTTCGCAACTGCAACATCCAGCAGCTTGACGCTCTTCTGTGCAATCCCAACAGTTACACCCGCAGGGGGGGCTGGAGCAACTACACAAACCTGATGCATGCACGTCCCCGAGAGGAGGGTAGGTGGGCGCAGACGTCGGAGTCCGTGTGGGACTTGCCGTCGGGCTTGCCGTCGGGCTCGGCGTTGGATACTGCGTCGGAGACGGCGTCGGGCTTGCCGTCGGGCTTGTCGTCGGAGATGGCGTCGGGCTTGGCGTCGGGCTCGGCGTCGGGTTCGGCGTCGGGCTTGGCGTGGGATACTGCGTCGGAGACGGCGTTGGGCTTGCCTTGGGGCTTGGCGTCGGAAACCGCGTCGGGTTTGGCGTCGGGTGTGCCGTCGGACTGTGCGTCGGGTTTGGCGTCGGATGTGCCGTAGGACTACGCGTCGGGTTTGGCGTCGGGTGTGCCGTCGGGCTGTGCGTCGGGTTCGGCGTGGGATGCGCCGTCGGGCTGTGCGTCGGGTTCGGCGTGGTATGCGACGTCGAGGCTGGCATCGGGCTTGGCGGGCACTGCGCAGTACCGACCTCATTGGCGACGAGGGACGCGGTCCCCGATCTGTACAACCTTAAATCTGCCGCGGAGTAGGAACGCGTGGGCGTTACTGATGTCGTCTGTCCCGAAGCAGCGGCCAAAATGTCAGACGGGGACAACTCGGACGGCCACAACGCCAAAGAATGGATCTTTCCAGGCAAATTCTCTGAGAGCGAGTATCGGGCGAACACCTATATATCGTCGCCGAAAATTCTGTCTGACGATACGTACAGGTGAATCCACGGGGCGCAGGTGGTCGTGGCACTGTTGACACTCGCAACCAAGGTACTAGTAGTAGCTGTGAATGGGGTTGAAGTACAAGGGCACGGAACCCCTGATCCGCTGGTAGAGGGAAGGAGGGATAGATGGATGCCTTCCCCTCCTGCACGATCAAAGGTCTGATCGATCTGCCCCAATACCTGAGCCCAAACGGCCAGGCGCAGGAGAGGTGAGGATAAGGAGTATATAAGAGGGTATTACACGGGTTCTATTCACACCCCCCGTCCCGAATCCCGCCCGTAAGGGTAGGACTCGGGAACAGAGGAAAAGATCCCGTCACCCTTTTACTCCTCTAATCCTCAATTTGTCAGGCAGCTGAGCGCAAGATCTGTATAGCTTCAGCTGCAAGGTAAGGTAAGAAGGAACACCCAGGGTCCCGATTTCTTCGCCAAGCACGCTTTGGTGCCCCCTCGGTGCGCCCCCCAAAACGCTTCGGCACTCGAGGGCGGAGAAGAATGAGACACGGGTGGGCGGAGAAAGAGGATCTGAGCCAGCGAAAGCAACATCAGAAGCTGCCGCGCCTAAGCGGGGCAGGTGTTGCCACCAGCTCTCTGTCGAGAGCTGGGCATCAGATCATTCTCAACGCAATGTAGGCGAAATCCAAAGAGTAAACGATACAAAAACATGTATTCTAGGTTCGTGTTGGTGAACACGATCGCGTTTAGAAACACGTCTAAATATCAAAGCAAATGTCTGGCCAGACGCAAAGTCGCGTTGATAAACACGAAAAGTTGCATATATATATATATATACAAATTCTGCATTTGGCGACGTCCGCTGGCGTTGCTCCTTAGGAGGCAGCCGTCGGTATCGCAAGGATACGCGTGCGTGGCCACTTGTCTCGGATAGTGAAGTGGCCGAAAATGATATAATAGCCACCGCTCGAGGCGAACTTGCATAATGATGAAGTTCAAGCCTTTCGAGCGGCGGGCCCGGCGGCCGACTCTACTACGCGTTGCCCCTCTCGTAGAACCTGCGGCCCCACATCCTGTGGCCATCGTACGATACGCAGCTCGTCGCGAAGGTCTTCCAAGGCGCCCTCGGGATCCAGTGGCGGAACCACTCATTGTACTGGATGTCGCGGACGTATACGAACTCGTCGTTGTTGTCCGTGATGTATATCCAGCATTTGATGTAGTAGCTCCAGTATCTGGGGCCCCACTGGCTGTCCTCCAGGTTGTCGCGCCACCACGTAGCGTAGTCCTCCGTCGCGAGCGCCCTCTTGGCGCGGGGAGGTGTCGCAGGTCTGCGGCTGCCGTCGCTGCCCTGCCGCTGCGCTGCAGTGCCGCGCGGCCCCGCGGGCATGTAGTCCTGCGCGCCAGAGGCGCTGGACCCTGCAGCGTCGCCAGGAGCAGGGCGCGGCGGCGGCGGCGGGTGCCGTGGCAGGCATGGCGCCATGGCATCATCAGAGTGCTGGGAGTGTGCATCAGGTTCGATCGGATCGGTTCTCATCCCTGAATCAACCCCCCTCTGGTCAGTGGAACCCAAGGCGGGTTCAACAGAAGCAAGCACGGCAAGCTTGCGCTGCGCGGCTCTCTCACGGGCGCCATCCCCTCTGGGAAGGGCAATCGTGACAAGTCCGCGTGCCTGCCGCGTGCTTCGGTCGAGTCTGCCCGCGTTCAACCACCGCTTCTTCCGACCAGCTTGGCCAGTCCCGATGCTGGTCTCGAGGGTTTCACAGGCGTCGTGCATGTCCTCAATGGTATAAGCGTTCTTGCCTTTATTGACACGAGCGCCTGTCATTTGGTGGTGGAACTTCAAATCATTGAGAAAGCGCTGAACGAGGTTGGCAAAGGGATGGCCTGGAGGTCTGTCGTCCTCACGCTCGCCCATCAATCTGCACATGTGTGCAGGAGGGGAGCCAGCAGCGACCCACTCCCCATCCCTCTTCCTAGCAGCATTTGCCAATCTCCTCAGCACGTCTTTCTCATGTCCTGGAATGGAGCGCTTGCCCATCAGCATGACCTGCGCTCCGTCACTCATGGGTACCTGGGGGTGGGGGGGGGGGGGGTGGGGGGGGGGGGGGGGGGGGGGGGGGGGGGGGGGGTGGGGGGGGGTGGGGGGGGGGGGGGGGTGGGGGTGGGGGGGGGGGGGGGGGGGGGGGGGGGGGGGGGGGGGGGGGGGTGGGGGGGGGGGGGGGGGGGGGGGGGGGGGTGGGGGGGGGAGGGGGGGGGGGGGGGGGGGGTGGGGGGGGGGGGGGGGGGGGGGGGGGGGGGGGGGGGGGGGGGGGGGGGGAGGGGGTCGTGATGGGGGGGGGGGTGTTCGGGGGGGGGGGTCTAACCTGGGAGAGCGTCGTCTTGATCCAGTGGGTCAGCTTCTGGAGGTATGCCAGGTCGCTCTCGACAGCGGTACTTTTTACCCGTAGCACCTACGGCAACAGTGCACTGCCAGCAGATGTCACAAACGGTACCTTCATCTGTAACGATCCCTAGAGACAAGAGGCGACCGCAATTCCGACATCGCGCGATATCATGCTGAATATCTTCTGGGGCCCCGTCAATCGTGAGGTGCTCACGGGAGCCCCAGCGAGTGTCCCGACCACGAGCAAGACTGCGGCCGATCTGATCCATGGCATCGCGGTTGACCTCGGCGGTCGGACGGGAAGCGATCGATCGGCTCATTCCCTCGATCTCGATCCTAGACAATCTTTCCCCTGGCAGTCCTACGCGCTCGGTCGTGTCGTTGTCCGCGCTGTCAGTATCACCATGGCATACGTTTTCTGTACGGATACGAATAGCCTCTTCCTGCAAGGCGGGCTCGTTGACACCCTCCTCGCGGTCGGTTCCCTTCTGCTGGGCTATGAGCCGTACCATGGTTTCCTGATCTGGAACTGCGGATGCAACGCTGCCTGGGTCCTGGGGAATGTCCTGCTCCGCGCCTGGGCCCCCATGTGGCGCGGCAGGTGTTTCCACCAGCTCCCTCCATACGGGGAAGCCTGGGTTGCCGAATGTCTGGATACAAGGTGCAAATAGATCACGCAACGTTTTGAGTGCAGGATGGTTCTGATGAATAGCATCTGTTGTGAAATCACGAAGCTCCGCAATACTGTCCAGCAATATGATTTGATACACTTTAGAGATCCATTGGAAGACGCCTGTGGTCGACTCCTCAATGACCTCTGGGTACAGGTAGTGTACCAACTTTTTGAAGAAGCTATCTGCACTGCAAATCGGTAAGTCACGTGCCCATTTGTGGGTATGATTGTAATCCAAATAGTATGCCTCTGCGTTCCATGCTTTGGATCAAAATTGAATCTCAAATCGTAAGTGTGACTGTGCTTTATCCACCACAAGCTTGCCCCTGCCAGTATGCACCTCAATGATTTGTTTCACCTTTATCATAGGTGAGTCCACCAACAACTCCGACGTCAAGCGGTATATGCGGTGGTCATATGATTGCTTGATCCACTTTGAGTCCTCCTCTGGGTCGTAGTCGGGATGGTCGAGGAAGTCCTCTGGCGGGTCGATAATATTGTCGAGGATGCTCGCGTCGACGTGCTCATCTGTTTGGATCTCTGCTGATAAATCTGCTCTCATGTTGCCATTTGCTGTTTTTTCCTCAGCAGTGAGTAGGATGTTTGATATATCCACGATGACAGTAACCAGAGGGTCAGCAGAATGGCCTGCCTTTTGTTGGGGTCCATCGTCTGCGGTAGCAGTATCCTCGGCAGGTGTGGCCATCAGCTCATCGGGATCGGGTGTCCGAGGAGCGGGCCGTCTGGTCGGCGTACGTGGGATACGCGGCTTATAAATGCTCGGCATTCCAAGATATGGTAGATCACCATCTGTTTTATGCTGATGTATTTTGTCGCGGCATGAGGATGGTCCTTCCAGCGCAGTAATCATATCTCTCGGGTCGATGTCGGCACGTACTGGCAAAGCGAAGACAACACCCTTGAGAGGCATGTTTCTGTCGTTGTACCATATGTTTACCCATCGTAAACCGTAGTTGAGGATAGGTATGTGTACCGCAAAGAGCTTGTCGAACACACCGAAATGAATGATTGGGCCGTATATGTGGCCCTTGTTCATGAGCACCTTGGTGTTGTGGTTGCCCTTGGGGTAGTGGTTGTCATAATGATAACAATTGGTAGATCCCCAAGTTTTAGTGACAACGAAGTCCCCCATGCGAACATCATTAAATATAAGCCGACGGTTCCAATCTTTCTGTGTGATTTTTGATGTGATGGGTCGAAGAGCCTCTCGGCAGTATGACATAGCGATCAACCATTCTTTATCTTCTGTATTGTGCTCGCAACTGTCGATCATAGCGCGGACCATTTGTTCGTCCAAGGCGTCAGCGTCAGATATGCGGCCAGCAGGGGTTGCCCCCGGCTGAGGGGCAATCGGTCGCTGAGCCGAAGATGCTGATGCTGATGGCGTCCTTGGCTGCTGATCCATGTCGTGATCCGCGTCAGTTCTGCTGGCGATTGGTCTGCTGGCGTGCGGTTTGGGAGCGGGCCAGGCGTTGATGGCTCTGGCACGGCTATCGGTTGCGGGCCAGGCTGTAGTGGCTCAGGCAATGGGCCTGGCGGTGCTGGCTGGTCCGCCTCAACCGCCGCGCGCCATGCGGCAGTCGGAACATCAGGATCATGTCCCAATACCACTCGATCCAATGCATTCTGTCTGAAGAATGGTTTGCATGCTTCGATGGTCTGTTGGTTCTCGGCAGCAGGGCCTATACG